CCAAATTAAAAATGTATTAGTTAGAACGCAGAAGCGACCTGCCTAACTAAAGAAATTCCTATGGATTGGCAGTACTAATGTGTTCAGAGAGTTTAAATTACCTGACTTAGATGCTATTAGTCACTGAGTAGGTACCAACTGTACCCTATGGTTTAGTTTCAAATATTTGCTACAGTCAGCTAGAAGTAATTTGCAAAGCAGACAATACCTTTTTGGGCAGCATAAAGTGGAATGGTCGGCTAGGGCAAAGTATAACGTTGTAACGCGGAGTGTCCCATCGCTGCATTAGCCTCTGAGCGGTTGATCCAGTCATCCTGAATCGGTAGGGTCTCCAGGAATTCGAATGTTAGCTGATTAAAGAAAATCTTTAAACTCTGGTTTATTTAAACTCAAAATGCCTTCCCTTCGAAGCCAAGATAGCCGCACAGGTGAAGGGTCGGACTGGCTGACTCGTGATTCGGGGAGTCCGCGGGTTCGATCCCCGCCGCCGCTTGACATTGCGGTGGACTCACCCGTTCGTGACACAAGCATTATTATTTAGCTTAGTACGGGGGCTAACGGGACTATTAGTAATTTTTGCAAAAACAAATAACTAATTATCTTTAAAAAAATGAATTAGGTTCAAATTAAAGTCATCTGGCCGGAATTTTGAAACCTGTTGCACGTAGGTATATCTATTTCCAATGAATAAATGTAGGTAACTAACTACGTAACTAGGCAGGTAGAAAAACAGCAAATGTTTCTAAAATAAATTTAAAGAACATACAATTACCGCTTCAAGACAGTACAAATTGCAAACGTTGTATACAATGATCCACTCATCTTGGATTGGTATATTTTACAGAAATTCGTCACTATAAACTAAGTAGTTCATAAAGTATGATTACTTGACTTTATGAACTACTTAGATATAAACACAAATCTTAAACTTCCATTAAATCCAGGCCCTAGCCTTGTCCCAATACCATAAGTCAGCGAGTTAATAAACCGTTATGCTTGAAAGCAGTGAAGCGTGGTCACACTAGTCTGGGTTTTATTTTATGTGCCCCACTCAAATTGGGAATATTGTGCCCTATTTTGGTACAAGTTATAGGCTTATTCTCTTTTGCAAATTGATTAAATAGGCAACACAGGATACAATAATATAAGGTCGACTATTGATATGTTATTTAACGAGACTTATACTTGTTTTCACCATCAATCCCAAAATTTTAAGTGACCCCTTTGAAAACAAAATTCTTGTTATGTGTTACCATAGAGGTCACTTAAAGATTAGGGATTGATGGTGAAAACGGGCATTAGGCTGGGTTGCACCATCTTACTTTAACTGTGACAAACGTCAAAAATCTGTCTAACTCCATACAAAAAATACCGATTATCGTTAAAGTTACCGTTAAAATTTGGTGGTGCAACTCAGCCTTACTGATGTTGCCGATTGTGAATTGCTTACACCATATTATTTCAAACCCTTCTATAGTCTTTTTCAGCTAAGATGATCCGTATGACACTTTAAGGTTATCCATATTACGCATACTACATATGCAGAATATTTTTGAAAAAATATTTGTATTTCATTAGAAATATAATAAAAAAAAAATAACTACTTGTCTTGAAATATATAATAGTAAAATCTGAGTCTATTGATTATATTTTAATTAAATACGATGTAAAAATATTTTTTATTTAATGTACGCAATGTGTGAAACGGAATAGATTTAGTGCTGGGGTATTTGTTGTATAACAAAATCGATTATTTCCGCGGTTCATTAATCGATTGTAGTGATTACTTAGTTATTAAAAACATCTCAAAAATCAACTATATTTTTCGATTGTTGACTTTAATAAACGCATTGAAAATAAATTAATAGTTTTTAATTTAAAGAAATAGAACCAGAACTTTTTAGGAATCGTTTTTTTGAACACGAAATATTTCTCTAAAAGTAGGTTTCACTAACTCTTAGAAAAAAATCGATAGATAAATCGCTATGGTTTAGTTATGTGACATCTCTATAACTTTCAAACTCGAAACGTCATACGAATCATCTTAGGTGAAAAAGACTATAGAAAGCAACTAGCTTGCCAGGTAGTTAGAAAAGCAATTATACAAGAAGAATTGACTGGGTTTGTAGATTATTAATTTTTAGGATGAACTTAAAATGAATATCGACTTCAGGTGTATTTTCATAGGTTTGTTCTTGTCTCACTCGCGTAGCAGAAGAAGCAGTAATCGGGTACAAAGGTCTATTCACCATGTACCCGCTTCTGCTCCTGATTCACCCGGCCAAATCCAGACGTGCGTTTTATACCCGGCGTTTTCCCGGCCCGGGCCGGATTAGCCGGAACAATCGCACGCTTTGTTTGATAATAACGTAGACTACCCCCATTAAGGCTGTGATTGCCGCTAACGACTTTCGACAATTGAACTATTGTCATTGAGCGCTATTTTTGGAGGATCGTAATGAAGGTTTTAAATTATAGTCATCGCTGATAACTCTTCCGTGTATAATTTAAATTGCTTTTAAGGTAAAACATGCGCTTATTTTTATGATACCGACAATAGTACCGTAGAGTTTCAAGCGACTCTTCATTTCTTCTGTTACATTTAACGTAATTTTAGGGAATAAGGTAAAAGGGTGCCAACGGGACCCTATTATTAAACCTCTGGTTAGTGGGCCTTAAATAGTGAGAGTTAGGTATACCATTGGGTACTTTAATTCTATGTCTAAGGCAGTATTAGAGAAGTGTTTAAGCGTCTCATGCGTGTACTAAACTGCCAGTATTTAGTAGGGTACTTAGGTACATCAAGTGCCTATTAGTACAGCCTACTTCCATATTAGGTACACTAACAAGAACTTTTACACAACAGACATAGCGTTGGTAAGTTCAGTCCTAACTACGAATAGTGTTACCACTCAAACTCAAACAAGGACTGAGTTATCTAATAACTACATCACCATTTCACTACATTGTATCACACTAATATTATAAAGGTGAAAGTTTGTGAGTGTGTGTGTATGTTTGTTACTTCTTCACGTCTAAACGGCTGGAGCGATTTTAATAAAATTTGGTATGGAGTAAGCTGACACCCTGGATTAACACATATGCTACGTTTTGCTACAAGTAACACCGCAGGGCACAGCTCAATAAAAAAGATGGGGATAGGTAGAGCTACAGTGTAACCACCTCTTCTGGAAACTAACCACTTCACATCTTTACTTCAAAATGACATGCCTGCTAGGTAGATTGCCTTCATAAATGCACTATACGCCCCTGAACATTAATTTCATGTAAAAGAAAAAGACCAAGAAAAAATATGTATGTAACTTTAAGCAATTATACATCAGAGCCTGCTACATGTAGAGAGGTTCTCAGTGTCGGTACCAACTGCCTTCCTCAAAAAACTAATACTTACTACTGCTTTACCTAGGTATAGGCTCTTAAGGTTTGGCAAAACCAACGCGATCACACGCGATCAGCCGGCGTGCAGCGATGGCGATCAATGCATTTTAGTCTGGTCGCCATTGCTGCACGCCGGCTGAGCGCGTGTGATCGCGTTGGTTTGGCAGCACCTTTAAGAAGTTCCTATAGGTATACCTATACCCACTCGTGTAGTGTCCACGTAGTACTAATTAGTGCTGGAGTGCAGCTTTGAGCTCGCCGCTAGGAGCGCAATCTAATCGCGAACATCTGAAGGCGAGGCCAATTTGTAGTCACACTAAGGCTGGGTTGCACGGCACTATCATACTTTAACTTTGACAAACGTCAAAAATCTGTCAAAATCCATACAAAAACACCGGTTACCGTTATAGTCATCATTAAAGTTAAGTGGTGCAATTCAGCATTTGTTAATAACTTACTACCAGCTTTGTAAGGTGTATTCATGGTGTAACTGACCTTACTCAAGAATTTTCCTGTTGATGCGAAAAATGCCAGTAAATTATTTCAAGGGAAAGAGGCAAAAAGAAAAGCTAATTTATAAATCCTTGATTTCTACTTCGGCTGAATCATCACTTTCCACGAATTCAAAAATATCTTGTGTTACAGAAGAAGTGCTAACGTAAATTACAATGTTACATTATGAAATACACAATACAAGTATTGTATTATTCTCGCTTTCTACGAAGAAACGTAACTCTTCTCTACACTAGTTTACTATTTTGTATTTTTGTATTTTCGTGGCCATAAATAACTTTCATAATATTCTCATATTACACCGTTAGCAAAAATAATTCATAGGGAGCCGTTACATAAAGTAGATGCGCGCGTGTGCGTGACTTTACGCGTCGGTACGCGCCGGTTACCGCGTCGGCGGGACGGGATGTTTCCTTTGCGTTAAGAATGAAATTACAAGTGGCCAGTTTTTTGTCATTTGTTGCTCAACGTAACGTAGCAACAAGGTTATTTAAAAATCGAACGTGCAGAATTCATTTTCATAAGTCAATGAGGTCATTGATCTCGTGTGCAGGTTGCATAAAATTGTGAGGCGTCACAAGATGAAGTGTTTTTTGTCGATAATAGGTATCTGCAGATTTTACTCTTCATTACAGTATAGAGTAGGGTAATATTTAGTAATTAATACTTTTGGATGGCTTTTCTTAGACATTCAATCGACACCAAAACACTAGGCATTATGGCATACGCCCTAAATATGCGATAAGCGTTTTTGCGTTTAAAAAAATCAAATTCAAAAATGTTTTCTTGCCTTTCGCGGTAGTGCCACTACGCGAAAAAGTTGCATGAGATTTTAGAATAATTAGGAAAGGTTTATTATAATGAGCAAGCAAGAACAAAAATTAATTCACGTTTTTTTCGTGAATTTTTTGTACAATTATGCAAAGGCTTACTGTTGAATCTTCAGAATTTCTTGTGTAATTTTTTGCCAATGCTTTCTGTAACTTTTCATCATAAGAACAAAGCAAAGGCAAAATCCTTTACAGCCCAATCTCCACTTTTTAATCTGTGCCCCATTCTAAACTTATTTTATTTCCCCTCGTTTCCAGGCCGCGAAGACGGTCGGGTTCCAGCATCGTGGTGCTCGGCGCGGACGAGGAGAAGCGGCCGCCGCCGGATGACGACAGAGAAATGCTCACGATGCTCTCCTTGTCTTCCGACACCGGTGAGTTCTGATTTTGAATATTTTTACTTTTTTTTGGAACTCTGTCAGGCTGACCGGCCAGAGCATAGGGGGTTAGAGTGACTGAAGCCCGTATCCACAAACATTACCGCGTGGACGCACAGGGTGACAAATAAACCAATCATAGATTTCTATTCAACGCTGTGCGTTCGATTTGCTGCTTCACTTAACCCAGCCTAAGATGAAATACTTAGGTATTAATGTTTCGACTTTTTGTTTATAAAAAGGTGTAACGTAATATTTTTTTGCAATTAGGCTTTCAAAAGCACTGTTGCGCGCAATAATTAAATTGGGTAAAATAGTAAAATTGTAAAGAAACAGAGAAAAACTCCTATATGATTTCGTTCGTTCGTTTCAGCCGAAAGACGTCCACTGCTGGACAAAGGCCTCCCCCCAAGGATTTACCACATATTAAAATTAAATAAAAAAAAATGCATGGCACACAAAGTCACAGTATCAGTATTTCATGAATGCATTAATTGAAATAACAATCGAATGTTGCCCAAACGCGATCATTTGTCATTGAATCGATTTATGTAACGAGCACTCGAATAATTGAGCACTGACACGCTTTAAAAATGAATTCGCAGTAAGGTAATCAGATTCAGTATCGTGGAATCAGTGCACGCACGTCGCAAAAAATTATGACGTGAACGCACGCCAATATCGTCACTGATTGAATTAGCTGAAGAAACAATTGGCTGTGTATTATTATATGTTAATAAGAAGAGATTTTAATTAACTACCGGCTGTTCCAATCTCGTTGAGATGGGAGATAGAACTTAATTTATTAGTTTTTAAGAGTTACCTATAATTAGACCTTAATATTTATGTGCGAACGAAGGCACGTCAGGTTAAATACTACATCAACATAATCAAGATATCACAGCAGGTTTTACTTACCCAAGTCAAGAACTTTTGATAGCGAGTCTCCCAATCATTATAAAAGAAATTAAACTTAATAAAAAAAAGTTTCATTAATTAACCGCTTACTTTTTAATAACAAACGCGCTAATAAAATGTTTTCATTAAACTATACTGTGTCAGTGGTACGTAATATTAATTAACTAACGTAACAATAACATCCCAATCTGACAGCAAAATGATTTTTTGCGTGTCTACATAACTTTGATGACCTTCCAAAGAACAATGAGCCAAAACAGGAAGAGTTAAAAGTATGCTTTTGTTCAACGATTTTGTTTTTATACATCATCGTACACAATTAGATTCATAAGCTTTTTTCTGCAGCGTGTGTAATATTCTATTTATATTTTAATCCTATAAACAATTTGAGTCATAATAAGTAAACTAATTAATGTAAAAGTGCTTTTTAAAAGCTTATTTGCAGAAAATAAATTACTTTTATGACTTTTATCCTTTTCGCAAATATTGGGATGACTTGGACAAATCAAACACCATTCACTGGAGTACGTCAGTGGTCAGAAGCCATTCGATCCATAATTTCTGGATAAGTCCGCCGATACAGCAGCCCTCTACCTTCATTTTAATATCTGCCGGTCAATTGAACTACAGATTGATGGATGAGCCCGAAGATTTATCACGAATCGCTCGACACATTGCAATGCGACTCATGTCACCCGAAATGTGTGTTGATTTGAGCACACATCGATTAATTCGATTTTGATTTAAAAGTATGTAGTTACTACTTACTTATCATATTTTCTGTGTCATGTTTAAGGGTTCTAAAAGTAAATTAAAACTTGAGTTAGGAAATACCGCAATTTATAAGATATTAAGAACTATTAGTCTATTACATATTATGATACTAATATCATCAACGATTAACCCTACATATTTTTATAAAAATAAAACCTAGAGATAAGATATTGGATACATCCTCCAAATATCTACAGAGCCGAATTAAATTCAAAATCTGGTTAAAACTTAAATTAATTTACCTAATTTTAAGATGAATAAATAAAAACATTACCAAGTAATAAATAGGTAGGTATTGTAATAATTTTGCGGGATGTAATGTAGATCTGACATGAAGAGTTAACGGAATTTTCCTGATTTTCCCGCAAATTAATCTTAATTCATTCAACAGGCGGGCGTTAAAATTGTTAAATCTAAAAATATGACGGGGCGATATCGTCGGCCGTCCGGCGTTGTGTTTCACCTAATTGGTTGATAAGCAAGTGGGGCGCGCGGTTACGGACAATTTGCGCGGGTCATTTGCGCTTTGACGGGAATTACTCCACGGTTATTAATTTTCCCGGGGCTAAACATGTAGCCCCTTCCGTAATTGACTTCAAATCCTTACCCAAACGGGATTGCTTTCTCGAACGTTTTATGGACAATCGCTTTATAAGAGGAACATTATGAAACCTTCGATAGTTTGTCTATTAGCTAGTTGTTAACTGGTTCTTTCTCTCTGGTTCCAGGTCCCCACCGCGAGATGGCGGTGGACGTGCCGGACAGTTTCATCGCGAGGAACAAAACACCACCCCGCTACCCACCACCCCGTCCTCCGCAGGTACGCCTCCGGGCCTCCAGGGACGACGAACCGCTCCTCCTGTCCTCCGGAGGATCGGGCACAAGTTTCGGCAGCAAGCAGAGTACCGTCCTTCAGAGCACCATTGATATATCCGGCCCAAGTTCAGACGGCTCGGGCAGCTTCAAGAATAACAGCACCATAGAGTTGTTGTCGCTGCCGCAGAGCTCGGATGGGTCGGGAACGAGTTTCGGGAGCAAGAAGAGTAAGGGATCGTCTGAGACGGCCAAGTGTGGTGACATGATGTCGGAGAGATCGGAGTCGGTGGCGTCAAATGCGACGCACAACTTGAGCGATCACAAGATCCAGCTTCTCATTTCTAATGGGGAGGATTCTTTGCTAGACTGCAGGGAGGGTGTGACGTACTCCGCGAGGACGGACTCGGTGCTGATCCGAGAGGCGGTGTACGCGTCGTACAAGCTGCCTCCTGGCTTCGACACCACGCCGGTGCTCCTCGGCCGGGAGGTCGCCGTGGACGTGCCGGACACCTTCGTTCAAATAGTGAAAACTACCCCCAAATACCCCGGTACCGTGGACAGAAAGAGCGTCGCGTTTCAGGTAATGGGCACTCAAATGCTACGCATGGACTCATTGCATCCGGGCGCATCGTTTGTTGGTCTCTAGGCTTAGAGAACTCCTTAGGGTTGCTTCGTAGGACTTGGTTTTTAACTTGAGGTAATCATGGGCAGCTTCTGACTAACAGGTGAAGGTAAATTTAAGAATTCTTTTAGTCACAGTAATTTAGCTAGACGATTACTGTGTACCTAGGTATATGTTACGCTGAAAAGCTTTCATAGGCAAACTGAAATATACTCGTATTTTGCTAGCTAGATTATTAGTGTGACATTTTAGATAGGTAATTTTAGTTAGTTGTAGGTACATATTTTATTATGATGGATACTATGATTACCTACTAACATGGTTAAGCATTTTGGTACTAACGGGCTGTTAGGTTTTAACTCAATTTTGGGTATTTTTAAGTGATATCATCTATATTTATCATCTATACTTACAACGTACCTACTTAATACTTAAAAAATCATTATTGTAAACACGATTTTGTTGTCAAAAAACATTACTACATTCATTTTATAATGCTACTTATTACTTGATGTTTGATAACGTTAAACATATTATCAATAATATGTTAGCTAACTAATTATCACCTGATAACCTTGTACTACTTAGATAAACTTTTAATTCATCCTAATGTCAATACTTACAACGTACCTACTTAATACTTAAAAAATCATTATTGTAAACACGATTTTGTTGTCAAAAAACATTACTACATTCATTTTATAATGCTACTTATTACTTGATGTTTGATAACGTTAAACATATTATCAATAATATGTTAGCTAACTAATTATCACCTGATAACCTTGTACTACTTAGATAAACTTTTAATTCATCCTAATGTCACTGTGTAGATCCAACGACATAATCATTATTCACTATCATCTAATCATTATGCAATTTCGACATGACATCAATCACTCATCAAAATCATGCTTAATGCACTGAACGCTCTGTCCGCGATTCCAAAAAAAAAAATAGAATATTAAGAAGAAGTTCAACTAATTGGATAAGTTATTTTTCTTCTATTCTTTTTTCGGCAAATACGGAAACTATCTAAAAGTAAACTCCTTACAAACCCCATAAAATCCAGTAATGTGGCTCGCAATATGCAATACCTACGTTTACACTGCGGCACCCATTGAGCTACGCAGATCGCTCGCTTATCATGTCGGATAGCCTACTGAAGAAAGCCACGTAAAGTAGGTAGTGTAAATAGGTATTTACTATTTTTCTTTGACTAACTAAAGTTAAAATTCGTTTTAAATTTTTTTCGAAGTCTTTTTTTCTACTGATTCGTGATCAGAATAAGCTACTTAATCAACTCCCTAAATGTGACGAGGATTGAAATCAACACCCTGTATAATTTTTAAATTTTTTGTCAGATAGGACTCTATCTATCATGATAGCGATTACCGCAAATAAAGCATTTCAGCCTGTTAGCCAATACGGCTTTATTGGTGCTTATATCTTTGCACAGACTTGCCAAAACCGCAGCCATTTATTCTGATTTGTTTCTACTTATGCCCCGGATACATTATTTTCGCGTAACCGGATTATTATTCAGTTATAGTGCGGATAAAGATATTCTTCGTATTATCTTTGTATCCCTTTCTCTTTGGACATGAGTGGGTTTGTCTATTTGGCCGAGCAAGTCGTAAATGTAGTAAATTAAGATACATATTAATACAATATTATTATTTCTAATTTAATTTAATGACAGAAAAATATAAAAGTGTTTGATGAAACTGAAAATTAAAAATCTACACGAGGAATTAAAATACGCTACTTATTGAGTTTGAAATCTTGAAGTTTTAATTAATGTAGGTACATCTACCGGTTGCTTTTCGGTCCTATATTTGTATAAAAACCGTCTGGTTTTCATTGAAATCGTCACTAAAATCTTTTCTTACAGGTTCTTACTATAAGCTTCATTTTCAGCCTTGATCTATATATTTATCTTAAGCGTGCATGATAATTTTATAGTATACATATTTAAAGGATAATACCAGGATAATACCTGTGAAAATACCACGTTTTACTTAAGAAATTGTATTCATGAAATAAGCATTTTTCAGGAACGCAAAAACAACTACCTTGTAAATATGTATTAGGACATTTTTAATGTCAAAGGAACCTTTAATAGGTCAAATAAATAAAACATAATACAAAAATTACTTTCCTAATCATACAGTTATTTTTACATTCCTGAAATTTTAACTGGGGCTTAAATCAATGGGGAATAAAGCATGTTTGAATGTTTAAAGTTATGTAAGGATATTTTACTGTGTTTATTTGTCTAAGTCAGATAATTTAACATAGGAATTTAAGTGATTTACTAAAATACATTATACACTCAACATCAAATAAATCGCAAAGATGGATAGCGATTAATCCCAACTTAACAGTTTTATAGCCATACAAATTGGCTCAAGCGTAACTACCTATTTTTTGAAGAAGTGACTCTAGATCCTTCTAAAGACACATTTTTGGGGTAAAAACCTTTCCTTTAATGAAATTAAGCTTAGAACTAGGCTTTTAAATGGTGCCAATATTGGTAGGAAGTGGGGATGCATAGTACGTTGGAAAGTGCTTGTCGCGGGAGGTGCGATTTATTTGATGTCGAGTGTAGATTATATTGATTGGGTTATGCATCAGACGAGGTTGTAATATTGTATCGCAAAGATGCATCTGTTGCGTATCCTAATCATTATTATACAATGATCTATTATATTATTATATCTGATTTTTATGTAACTTTTTATAACTCACAAGGTTTCATTCTTTTGAAACACAAGAATAACCCAACGATAGTGAATTACGTTTTGTATAGCTGCGCTCAAACTTAAAATATGAATACAGCGCCATCTACCGCAGATGTACGGTACCTCGTTTTAATTATGCAATGCAACTAGAACCTTTGGTGTAACACCAGTGTTTTTTCAGTGTTGCTGAAAAGTTTTCATAATAAAATTATTTATTAGCATTATACCACGTTTAAACTTAAACTTATTGAAAAGTTGTTATTGCCTATCGAGGGGAGTCCAAGTCTTACAAATCGCAATGGTCGTGTGTTTCATGATTTGACTTGTAAGATAAGTTTATAAAATTATTGTTTAGGATTTACCTCTTCAACTGGAAGTCTGTCCAATTTATCTTTTATTCTAAAAGTCACTTATTGTCATTACCTAGAGAAAGATTTTCCATAAACTATCTACCTGCTTGGTGCTTACTAAGGCCACCAAGACTATTTGTTTGAAAAAGGAAGTACCTAAACAATATATGGAAGTTAACCTAGCCAGTAAGATTTGATAATCTTGTAAGAAGATAACACAAAATTATATAACGTTTTGCAATTAAACAATCATTAGTGTCACAAGGAACTTAAAATATTTTTGTTATTTCATAGGCACGATATAGAGTCAATTATGTACAAGCCTCTCCGGTCTCAAACAAATCCAACGCCTCGGTTACATTGTTAGTAAATATCTGAAATAGTCTGGATAAATATCTTTGCCTACAAGATTGTCAAATCCATCTGGCACAATACACTTCACTGACCAACCAAGACTTTTTCAACTTAAGGGTCTAATAAAGGTTTGGTCAAACCGACGCGATCACACGCAATCAGCCAGCGTGCAGCGATGGCGATCTATGAATTTACGTCTGATCGCCATCGCTGCACCCCGGCTGATCGCATTGGTTTGGCTGAACTTTAACTTAGAAAAACTTGCTGTTTTCTAACTTAAACTGCAACCCCAGCAGGTGAATGGCACGGCGAAGATCACGACGCCCGCGCTGCCGCCGCGGGAGGTGCCGCGAGACGCGCCGCCGCGGCCGCCGGCGCACGACAACATCACGAAAGAGCAGATGGACTCTATCAAGAAGTATCAGGTCAGTGGCTTTCTTTATATCATCATCAGTAGGTCTAAGATGCACATCGTATAGAGTTAAGGCATTTTATCGATTTTAGTCGATAATCCCATACATTTCTTGTTAATAATCATCCACCTATCGTGGAAGACCAGCAGGTTTATTTAGAGTTTCAGAGCAAACGACTCGCAAGAACACATAGACTAATATCAAGAAATATTAGTCAGTCAGCCTTCCATCATATTCTGTGCTTCTATACCCTTTACCAATGGTCATTAGTCTCCACTGGACTGCAGAAGTACAGCCTCTCTGATTGTACCCGGGGCAAAGGAAATATGTACCCCCGGACAACACTCTGATCAGTGACATGCGGAGACCAGTCAAAAGTTTCAGTGGCGGTCAAGTAAACTTAGGATATAAATGGCTTAAGCTATGAACAAAGCTAGGGACTGTCTCTTTTCTTCTCAACTCGACTACATTTGAGTGTTTACACATACAGATTACAGACACCATGTTTGGGAGTAGATAAGTGATCGTTATGCCAAATATGGCAGTGACGTTTGACATTAGGATGCCCGTTATTTGGTACCGTTTATTGAAACGACCACATGTTGATCCAACCTCGTCGACCTCTGGACTAGTATAGTGAACTCACTTTTAACACTGGCTTTTTAAAACTTGGATCCCAATGGTTATACTCGTATACCTAAGTAAAAAAATGTAAATAACTAATTACTACCTTAGTACCCAACCATAAACATGAAAAACTCTTTAGCTTAATCAACTTGTGGTGTCACATCAAAATTTCCTTATACCTAAACATTATTTTTTAACTCCTTTCAACGTAATTTGGGGCATTCCGTTAAACCACATATTTGCGTACATTGAACTACATACATTAGAGTTGTTAACTGTTGTCCGTTTGTGTACGTTTGCGCTTTGTTTTGACTTCCTGTGGACATTGTTGGTTACAGTCAACACATCACATTCTTCAAATATGGAATAATTGTGATGACATCATGGTACCACTATTTAGTGATTTTCGTCCTAAATTTTTGTTCGTTTCAACCAAATGATGTCCACAGCTGGACAAAGGCCTCCCTCAAGGATTTCCATAACGATCGGTCCTGCGCTGCTCGCATCTAGAAGGCTTAGTGTGAGTTTACATCAAACGTCGTCACTAGTGAGCGCGTAAAAAAATGACATTAAATGCTCAACATCAAATAAACCGCAACTTCCGCGACGCGAACTTTAACGATTTTCTTCTGACACAATCATGGTGCCCCAACAATATTGGTGTTATTTGAAAGCCCAATAAATATCCTTAAAGAAAAACACATTTAATTTCTTAATAAATGATTAAAATATACCATAAATGTGACTTAAAAAAATACCTCACTTTGGGCCCACCTATGGGATCAATTAGACCATTTTTTATGGTTATAAAACCAAATAATGATTTCACGTGTTCTCTTTAACAGATGGATAGCAATTAAACCCAACTTATTAACAGTTTTATAGCCATAAAAGTTGGCTCTAGCGTGACTATCTATTTTTTGAAGAAGTGACTCTGGATCCTTCTAAAGACACATTTGTGGGGTAAAAACCTTTCCTTTAATGAAATGAAGGTTAGAACTAGGCTTTTAAATGGTACCAATATTGGTGGGAAGTGGGAATGCATACGTTTGAAAATTCTTGTCGCGGGAGGTGCGATTTATTTGATGTCGAGTGTATGACGGATTGTACAGCGCCCCTAGCGGAAACTTGCAAGAACTAAAATTTTCATATATCTTTTTTAACGCGCTCACTTGTGAGGAAATTTGATGTAAACTCACACTAAACCCTCAGGTTCTTCTCGTGTCCTAAATTCCTACGTCCTAAATGTAATTAAACTAATGTTAGTTCACCCACAGAATAATAATAAGTACTACGGTTCACCTAATAAGGTCTACCCCATACTTAAATATAAATATATAAATTAATATAAATATCTTTCGACAATTTCACACAGCGCTATCTAGCCCCAATGTAAGCAATTAATATGCTTGTGTTATGGGTGCTAGTTTAACGGATATACTACATATTATATACTTTTTAAATACATACATATTACACATAGTAACACCCAGACCCTTGATACTTGCTAGCATACCTATTAAAAATGATTTTTTTATGCGATTTATCTGAATATTTGTATTTGTTGTTAGCTCGTAATTAATTTACTAACACTGTGTTGATGCTGACATGAACTCAAAATTAAACTGTTCAGCTTAGTTCAAGGATGCCAAGTCGCCCGCGTAAAGTTTAAACCCTTTAATTTAATCAAGGGTTGTGGCTTCGAATCCCACTGGAGTCAAATGCTTGAGCAAGAACATTCATACCCAGAGTTATGGATTTATACCTCTTCTCTGACAATATTAAGTTGCGTGTATCTATAATTTGAGTTAGGTACGTACGTTACAAACGTTAATAATATTTATCCATTGACTTAAATAGTTTTACCATTCGGGTATGGTTACTATAGGTTGAATCCTATGGATGTCCATTGCCCATGGGGGATTGTAAAGTATGACATTGATATTAGATTTAATCTGATTTCTTAATCATTAAAAATTATTCCATCCTAGAAAGCATCTCACTAAAATATCAGGTGCGATTGCGGTATTTGTCAAATACCTGCCTTGTTCTGCATAAAAAAGGAATTAAAAATGTTTCATTATTCCCAAATTACAGTTTTTAAATCTGTGACAGAAAAAAAATCTATTTATGTTTCGTCGAAACCTTTTTCGTTTTGGTTTAAAAATAAAACGCTTTTAGGACGCACCACCGTGATCCGTTTAATGTGCCCCTGCGGCAATTTGATAAACGTTTTACCGAGCTGGTTTATCTGGTTCCTGCCGATGTTTCATTATATCCATACTAATATTATAATTAATATTATAAATACGATACTATAGCTGCCGTTTTCACCCTTACTAGTATATCTTAAAACCAATTTTCGTAAGACAACATATCCTATATTTTCAAAATAAATCGCTAAAGGGGTTAAAGTTTGTGTAACGAAGCCAATATTTATCATATTATAAGTAATATGAAAACTATTTTAATGATTTAGCAATAAATAAAGTGTATTTTATCGAAGGACGAGTTTTTGTACCAGCTCGAACAAAATCTAAAAATAACTTAGTACTAGCTATTTTTTAAAACAAACACGCTTTTATTTCTCCATTTTCTAGAAAATGTAAACGAAATATCTATTGTACTGTCTCTTGTTTTGTAACACAAAAAAGCGAAAAAAGTAATACTTATCTAAAAGCTTGTTTATACTCGCGAATTTTAACAACAGTTTTATTTTTGAAAAAACATCTCCGAGAGTTCATATTGGTGCCTTTCTGTTTAATCATATCCAATAATATGTTTAGTTCAATACCTACATCATAATTAAATTATTCGCTACTTTCACATGGGTACCTCAATTTATGAGTCTTATGTTTACACCTATTTAATTAAAATCTGAAGGTTAGTGAACTATTTTTAGTGCTTAAAAGTAAGTAATATTTTGTAAACTAGAACGTAGTACGCTTTAAACCGAAACTCCGTCTACTAGAGGTTAAATTGCGGGAAAACTAATAACAAGTTTGTGGCAAGTTCTCATGGCTGAAATAATAGTTCAGCTAGTTAGCGGCATCTTCGACGAAAATGTTGAATTTTCAAGCGTTTAAGAGTCCTACGTAAACAGTTTAAATTGAAATTAAACTTGCATTTTGAAAGTTTAAATTGATTTTGGGAATGTAGTTCATAAATACCTATGTTTAGCATAATTGCAACGGGGCGTCTTAGCTAGCTCAGTCTGACACCCCGCTGTTTAGTACTAAGTCCCAGTTCGCCTTCTGCGATGAGGGATGTGTACCTATCCAGGATGCCTACAGGGATATTTGACCAAGGAAACGCACAATCAATAACACAATGGCACTTTATAATCTAGGTTCCACAATGGTTTACTTATTCTAGTTTCACTGACTCTAAATCGCTATCGTTTAATAATGAGCAAGTTTACAAGCACTTTACAAGTTATATCACAATTTACTAATTACAACAAGAGGAATAACGACGCGCCCGGTTCGCGTCCCGTTAGCTAGCTTTCGTATCCGCGAGAGGGGCGGCGCCCTGTGCGAGGTTTATCGAGTGTTAGTCTGGATACTTATAACTAGGGGGGTAGGATGTGGTCCGATTAGCTCGAGCCAGAGACCGAAGCCTCAATAGTGAGCGCGACCACTGGGGAAAGGCGTTGGACCTACGGGGCGAGGGGGTGTGAAGTTCAGGAAGGGTGGCAGCAGGATTGCTACCGCAGGTTCGGGATGAGTATCTCATGCACTACTCGGTAAGGACGAGAACCGGTTGGCTATCAACGATAGAACGTCTCGACACGACGCTTTATGGCAAGCCGCGGATTAATGACGAGGTATCGGATCAAGCCAAAGTCGAACAGTTAGGGTTAGTAGGGAACAAATGTGGATAGCTATTCGCTAGGGACTCCTTGCAATGCAGCCGAGGGAATGATAGACGCGCGCGCGAACGTCTGGCTGTTACAATGGCTCCCGAGCGAATGCTAGGCGCCCGCGGTCGCCGCCGTCTCATATATTAGCTCGGTCCGTGCGGCGTGCGGCCGCGCAGCCGTAGGGTTGTCAAAATCTCTGCGCTGGGTGCTAGGGCTGTCGATGCGTCGCGGGGCGCGTCACATAATAATAATGAATGTCAACATTAATCCATTACATTACGTCATAATCAGCAATTAATTGCCTATGCCTAATTATTCAACAAAATACAAAGTATTAGAATACAGTAATAAAAATACAAGAATAAACTAACTAAGACCATTGCTCAATTTATCTACTAGCTTAAATAATTTACAAGTAACAATGTACAATTTAACATAAGCTGGCATTTAGCGTCGTGGTGATGTTCAATAAAAAATATTGTTTATTTGTGTCACATCGGACCCTTAAACCGTATCGTTTCGA